CTGAAGTCAAAAAATATGTAGTAAGAATGTACAAGGAAGCAAAAATATATTTAAAAAAAAAGTCTGCTGAGTATTGGAAGTTGTTACAAGAGGGACACACCAAGATACTATAACAGGGTCCAATTTACATAACATGCAGCAAGGTGTTATCTTGCTTTATCCACTCTTGGAAAATAAACCATAACCTCAGAATGCAAGACCACCACCACTGGGTTAACAGGACAAACTTCCTGAGGGACACAGGGAGTAATTCACTATGCTTCCCCTGTCCCTAACTCGTTTCCTCATACCAATTTCTTTTCCTTCCTTGAGGATAGGTTTTATCCTGTTGAAAAAAACTGGTCTTATCTGTGAAAGTGTGAAAGTGAAAAGTGGAGTAAATAATATCCTGATTGAAGTAGGCAACGTTTCAGCTGAAGATGCTCAGGAATCAAACTTATGAAAAAGGTCAGTTGGCTAGCTAGCAGAGACCATCAGTGGCTTGCAGAAAAGGAAAAAAAAAATTCAGGTAATATGTGTTTGCTAAATAGATAAAAAGAATAAGCAGTTAAAAATGGGTGAAAAATCCCAGGGTTTACTGTGACCCAGACAATCAAAAGCAGACAGGTGACCTCTGATTAAGCCCATTTACTTGTGGAGTGAGCTATAAGGGGCTCCAAGAGAGTTTGGTTTCCACAGTGTCCACAGCCAAAGGGCAAACTCAGAACGTCTCCTCCTCTCGTAGAAACTGGAACACGGATGAGAAGTCTTTTTTTGAGTAGCCTTTTGCGCACATCATCCTGTAGATCTGATGGGCTTGACTGCCCAGAAGGATTGGGCTCTTCGTGCTGGTAGCAGAGTCTTGTGCTAATCCCAGATCCTTTGCCATGAGTGTTGTTCCAAATCCGCCCTGATAGTTATTAGCCGAGGGAACTCCATCCATCACCCCAGGTACAGGATTATAAGTGTCACTTGACCAACATCATCCTGAGCTCATATTTAGGATTTTAGCCAAGAGTTTTGGGTCAAGCCCTAACCTGATTCCCAGATTCATAGCTTCAGCAGTTCCAATCATACTAATAGCTAACAGCAAGTTGTTGCAGATCTTCGCAGCCTGCCCTGTCCCAACAGCGCCACAATACACCACATTGGAGCCCATGCACCCCAGCAACTCTTGGGCAGCAGCAAATTCTTCTTCGACTCCTCCTACCATAAATGTGAGGTTCCCCGACCGAGCGGCTCCCACACCACCAGAAACAGGGGCATCCATGAAAACTGCTCCCATTTTTTCAACTTCTTTGGCCAGTTCTTTTGAAACCATAGGATCAATAGTACTGGAATCTATTAACAGTGAGCCTTTCTTCACTTTTTTCAGAATTCCATTTGCTCCAGAATAAGCTTCTATCGCATTGATGCTGGTGGGCAACATGGTAATAATTCTGTCAGCTTTTTCAGCTACATCTGCTGGGGAAGACACTACCTGTTCACCTGCATCTAGAAACTCTTTGCAAGCATCAGGGAACACATCATAAATAATAAGTGGATAGCCATGTTTCATGAGATTTTTTTGCCATTGGATTCCCCATGTTGCCGACTCCAATGAATCCAACTGGAGTCTTAGAAGCCATTGACCTAGAACACACCGCTGCAAGGTTGGCCACTGCCGGAGGCTGCCGGCGGCTCCAATACCGGAGGCCGGAGGCGGCTCCATGGAGCCGTAAGGAGGCTGCCATGCTGCCCCCGCCCCGCCTCCCCACGGTCAGAAGTGCTTTATTTCTATTTTATTTACCAAACACTTACTGAGGGCTTACTATGTTCCAGGCCTCTTCTAGATATCAGTTCTTTCAAACACGAGCTGTTCAGTTCTCATCATAAGCTGATGAGGTAGTTACTATAATTGCCTCCCTTTTGCAGGTGGGGAAACTGAGGCACAGATATTCACCCAGTAAATGGCAATTGAGATTCAAACCTAGGCCATCTGACAGCAAATGCCATGTATTTAACCACCAAGCTAAGTTTTGAGAGCAGGAAGTGTTCTTTTGTCTTCTCTGCAGGCCTGACTAACCTGGCCCTCAGGTCTTTTTCCTACAGTGTCAGACGATGCGGAAAATTTTCTTTGAATGAACTGAACCAGGTGAGTCTGACACTTGGTTCCTGACACAACGGGGATCCAACTGGATCCAGTGGTTCTCAACTGGGGATGGTTTGTCTCCCTCCTTCTTGGGGACATTTGACAATTTCTGGAAGTATCTGTAGTTATCATAAGTGGGAAGAAGTGTGCGTAGTGGGTAGAAGCTAAACACGATGCTGTTAACATCCTATAATGCACAGACCAGGCCCTGAGGCTCAGTTTTCTCATCTCATCTCATCATAGCAGGCTCCGGTCAGGGGCAGCCAAGATAATAGCCAGGAAGGTAACTGCTATTGTGACCATTATGGGCTGGGGAGTGTGGGGCTTGGGGTAAATCCTGCAGGCCTGAGCCTGCCTGTTCCTGCTCCTCCAGAAGGAGTGCTGTTTGTGTTGTCAGGGGGAGGGGGACAGACCTTGCTCCTCCCATTCCTCCTTCTCAGAAAGAAGGAGAGATAGGCTGGGGTCTCACAGGAGTCCCAGGCCTGCAGTCTCCAGGAACAGTAGGCAGAAGAACCAAGGGTAGGGGAGGCACTCAAGGGTCAGCAGTGGACCACACACTCACAAAGACAGTGCTTACTCATGGCTGACTCTTGGCGATCCCATAAACTGTAGCCTGCCAGGCTCCTCTGTCCATGGGATTCTCCAGGCAAGAATACTGGAGTGGGTTGCCATTTCCTTCTCCAGGGGAACTTACCAACCCAGGAGTTGAACCCAGGTCTTCCGCACTGCAGGCAGATGCTTTACCAACTGAGCTACACGGGAAGCCCCGGCAGTGGGCCCAGCCGCCCGCAAATTGGGCTTTGTCCCATTGGGGCCTGGAAGCCACTTCCCCAGACAGTAGCAATTATCGCAATCAAACAGTTGACACCAATTACGCACCAGGCCGAGAGGCGACAGCGGCTGTGTGGGCACCTCGGCTTTGCATATCTTAATGCGGACTGACAGATGCTGACCCTCAGGGCCACCAGGCTTGCCAGCTCTCAGCTCTTTCTGTGGCACCCATTTTGAGAGCCAGATGACTGCCAGGGCCTGCTCCTTTGCAGCACAGAACTGCATTTGGAAGGTGGAAAATCTCGCGCCCCCAAGGTCCCTGGAATCTGCAGCACAGGGAGCATGGGGTTGGGATTGAACCCAACCTTCCCAGGAGGGCTGAAGCTGCTCAGTGGCCTGGCATGCGGGGTCCCTCGGGAAGTTCCCCCCAGGTCCCTGCCGCCCCACTCAGGGAACCCACCGGGCACTGCTGAGGGGTCGCTCAGCTTCACTCTATACACTGCGAAGTCTCACTCTTTGTCCCCCATCCCCAGGGAGGAGACAGCAGGAGAGTCTTTTAGGAAGAAGAGCTTCCCTCATCGGAAGCTGGTCCTGGACAGTTTCTTTTCTTTGGGGGTGGCGGGGAGGGCAGGTGTTATGCAGTGTTTACCATGCTGTTCTGCCCCTGGTAAAGAATCCGCCTGCAATGCGGGAGCCCCAGTTTCGATCCCTGGGTTGGGAAGATCCCCTGGAGAAGGGAAAGGCTACCTACTCCAGTATTCTGGCCTGGAGAATTCCATGGACTGTATAGTCCATGGGGTTGCAAAGAGTCAGATACGACTGAGCGACTTTCATTTTCTGCTGGGCGCCAGGGGTACCAGCCATACACAAAGGGCCTCGGCTGCAGGCAGCAGAAGCCATAAATTCAGCCTGGACCATGGGGGTGGGAGGATGGATGGGCCTGTGTTCATGCCATCGTGTAGGGCAGTCAGGGACCTGTGGAGCTTCAGCTTTTCCTGACCTGTTTTCAGTTCAGTTCAGTTCAGTCGCTCAGTTGTGTCCAACTCCTTGCGACCCCATGAACTGCAGCACTCCAGGCCTCCCTGTCCATCACCAACACCCAGAGTTTACCCAAACTCATGTCCATTGAGTCAGTGATGCCATCCAACCATCTCATCCTCTGTCGTCCCCTTCTCCTCCTGCTTTCAATCTTTCCCAACATCAGGGTCTTTTCAAATGAGTCAGTTCTTCGCATCAGGTGGCCAAAATATTGGAGTTTTAGCTTCAACATCAGTCCAAGCAGGAGTTTTGTCATAAGGTCATAGGGAAGTCAGGGTCAGGACTGGAATTCGAAGCTTTGATTTCACCGGGGCAGCGAACTTTACCTGAATTTACTTCTGACTTCATCCTCCTCTCTCTTACAGGGTGCAAATTCCTGTTTGTCTCCCCACCCTGGCTCCATCCCAGGAACCCCAGAAGACTACTGGGTTGCTAAGGAGAAACGAATCCGGTTCAGGACTGGTATTTCAAGTATAAAGCGCAAGTCCTCTGTCCACTAGCGCCCCTCAGCCTCTGCAAGGCTGGTTGGCTCAAGGCGAGCGGCGCCATGAGGCTCTAAGAGAGGGGGCTCCTGGTCGTCTTGCATGTCACCTCTCTGCCCCCCAGGCCCTCCCTGGACCCCATTCCCCCCAGCCATCAGGCCTCCCTGAAAGTCAAGGACTGTGGTGGGAGGGGTGCCTTCAGGAGCAGGAAGACTCCTTGCCACTGGAGTAGGAGGCGGATCACCTTACAAGAGCACTTTCCCAGGAGAGCTGTTTTCCTAATGTGCACCGAGGGGGTGCCCCCAGCCTCCCTCCAGATTTCCTAACACACCCCTTGCGCTTCCCACCGCCCCCTGGGGACTGCTAGCTCCATCACTTAGACGCACTTCCATCCTATTTTCTGATCTTGTGAAGAAGTCAGAAAACTGAGGATTCTTCCCTCCCACAAAGGTGTTCGGACCTCCCCACTGTTCAAACGGAAAAACAGATGATTCGGCAGGGGGAGAGGGTCCCAGAAGAGCTGGGAGTAGGGCTGGGAGGCAGGGGACCATGAAGCTTTGAGCGCCTCCGATGGGCGAGCTCCGACTGGGCCCTTACAGGGAGACTCCTGCGCGCTCCGGGAGGGTTCTGTCCTTGGGCCACCCATCTTCTGCCCCGTCACGAGGATGGAGTGGCGCCAAGGTAACTCTCCTATTTTTCAGACGTGGCCTGGGGACCCCATTTGAGTCCCAGTGGCGCTCCTGGCTGGGCGTCTGGACTGAATGAGCAGTTTCCGCGCGGGTATCCGGAGGGGATCTCCGACCTGCGGAGGGCTCCCTCCTGAGTCCCGCTCAGAGTCGGCGGCCCAGGGATTCGGATTCTAGGCCTTCAACTTGGAGAAGCAAGAGCAGAGTCGTCGGCGCGAGAGCATCAAGGCTACGCCCTGAGGTCAGGACAGCCGGGCGTGGCGGCATCCCCTCGGGCCCTCGCCGCCACGTGCGCGTTCCGTCGGGCTGCCGCGTGAGTCACTGTCCCCGCCTCGTGTGGCGCCGGGCCCGGGCGGCCGAGGCAGACGCCGGGCCTGGGTGCCAAGCGGAACAGGGTGAGATCCCATCCGTGAGCCGGGCGGAGAGGAGCCCGCGCCCCTGTGCCGGGCGGGCCACCACCGCGCGCCCCTCCGCCCCCGCCACCCCCCGCCCAAGCCCGGCGACTTTAAACCCAGCGCGTGGCGGCGATTCCCCGGGCCTCCGCGAGGGCCGGCGACGCTCCTGACAAGGATCGGGGAGTGTTTATCTGGATACCGCGTCAGCAAGTGCATCGGCTTTAAAAGGCCAAGCGGGGTTCCTGGGGATTAACGATCAGACACTGGGAGCCCTGTTCTCTCCGTCCCCGCCCTCTTTCCCACCCCAGGAACAAGAAAAAGAAAAATCTGTTGGAAATGCACTTTTTCCCCCTGCTCCCCACCGCCTCCCCGCCTTCTCCTTCTGCTTTCACCGACTTAAAAGAAAAATAAAATACATTCCAGGAACCGGGACGGCTGCGGAGCAAACTCAAACCAGAAAATGCTTAAAGATGTTTTAATGACTTAAACACAGGGCCGGTTTGTGTCTAAAAGTTTCCACATTAAAAAAAAAAAAAAGAAAAGCAAATTCAATATTAAATATCCTTCCACCTCCTCCTGGGCCCCTCCACCTCCCTCTCCGCCCCCTCCCCCTGGATCACCTCGCCTTCTGGGGGCTCCGAGGCCCAGTTTTCCTCTGCATCTCTGCTTTCAGCTGTGGGCTATTAGCACCCGGTGTGAACAGAGACCAGGCCCCTCCATAAACTTTATATTCACATTCCAAAAATGAAAAAAACAAGGAAAGGGGAGAAAAACAACACCCTAGGTACAGGCCCAAATGCTCCTTCGAGCAGAGGCCACCCCTCCCCCCCAGTTCAGGGCCAGAGGAACTGTTAACTAGCAGCTGACAGGTTTTTACAGCGTGAATTAGACCCTCATTTGGCTCAGGATTAGCCCACATCTTCCATCTCATTATTGCTCTGTGTTGTTGGAGCCCCCTTTCTTGAAGCTGGGGAGTTGCAGATGGGTCTTTGGGGCCCTGATCAGAATTCTCACTCTCTGAGCTGGGGTGGGATGGGGTGAGGAGACAGGAAGCCACAGGTAACAGGTGAGATTTGGAGTCCACGATGGAGCTGGGGGTGGCCAGCTGGAAGGCCTGCATGAGGAATTTGTCAGGTGAAGTGAACTAGACACCTGCCTTGTGATGGAGACACGTTATGTGGTGGTACTGCAGGTGCTGGCTTAGAGACTGGTTTCATTATTCCAAAGGATCACAAACCTTGGGAGCAACAATAGTAATTGTAAGATTTACTGAGTACTTACTATATGCCAAGCCCTCTCTAGACTCCCTTTGTATTTCATCTTCAAATTAATCCACTATGTGGGTACTATTGTTATTTATGCCCATTTTACAGATGAAGATGCTTAGGCTTAGAGAGGGTAGGAAATTTACCTGAGGACCCAGCCAGTAAGTAGCAGAGACAGGATTCAAACCTAGAGTCTAAGCCTTTAGGTCAAACTGTCTCTAATGCCAAGATCACAGTGGGTGCCGACTATGTAAACATCTATTTCTAAGCTCCTGGTTTTCATTTCACTCACTGAGTTTTAGGAACTTTAAGCCTGAATTCCTATTGGTATAGATAGCTCTGACCATGTTCTGTAATCTGTTATTGGTGTTTAATTGTGAAGTCATGTCCGACTCTTTTGCGACCGACCCCATGGACTGTAGCCCACCAGGCTCTTCTGTCCATGGGGTTCTCCAGGCAAGAATACTGGAGTGGGTTGCCATTTCCTCCTTAAGGGGATCAAGGGATGAACTCAAGTCTCTTGCTTGGCAAACAAATTCTTTACCACTGATAACAGGTAAGCCCCCTGTTATCTAGCGTGAGACAAAGACAACGATTCCCCTTATCCTGGATCCGCCTCCTGGAGTCAAGAGCTGTTAGGATAGGAAACTGACCAGGCTTCTCGCCTTCTCTTCCTGGACCTGATGAAGCTCTTTACAGGGTGTCATTTTTCATGAGGTAGTTAGGCATTTGCCAAGAGGCCTGGGGAGAGAGAGGGGCATTCATGTCACCAGAATGGAGAAGGGCTGAAGGAGCTGGAGTCCTGGGCAGCTGCCCAGATGTGTGACTCCGGGAGCTAGACTGCAGAGGCAGCTCCAGCTGTTGCTGCCTTCTCCTCCTTGTGAAGGTCAGTGCAGGGTGGGGAGAGGCGAGGGTGGTGGACCTGCCGGTGTCCAGACACAAAGGACTTGGTGATGATTTGGTTTTCTCAGCTTGAGAGCTCTCCCTGGGAAAGGCTGCTTTGTGGACACCACTCTCGATTCGAGGGTCAACCCAGAGCAGGAAAATGTCTGGGAATTCTGGAGCTGCTCAGAATCTTTTTTTTTTTTTTTTAGTGGAAATTTGAGGAAATTTTGAAGCATATGTAATACTTTGACTTTAAGTGCCCTTGACAAAGTTAAATCACTTTGTCAGTTTAGGAATGTAAAAATGCTTTATGTATAACTTGGTTTGCTCATAAAATATCTTCATTTGGGTGTATTTAGAAATGTGAGGCCAGAAAAGGAAAGTTGAAATTCGAGGAAAAACCTACAACCCCTTAGCTTGGAGTGAGAAAATAAATAGAAACTTCTTTATAAAATTTGCTTGTCTCCTTGTGGGGTTAGGTACTTGTGTGGTTCTAAAGGTTGGGGGCCAGAGGCTGCCCCCATCTCTTTTTGGCCTCACTCCCTGGCCTATGGGATCTTAGTTCCCAGTACCCGTGACCCGTGGGCAGTGGAAGTGCCAAGTCTTAACCACTGGAGCACCAGAGAAGTCCCTGGTCTCCTTTTTCCCTAGTCTTCTTGCCCTCCTCTGACTTCTTATCTTTCTCCCCTGGAGCAGAGAGTCTCCTTGAAGTTTTCAAAAAGCTCCCAAACTCAGTTCATTCCAACCAACACTTATTAGGATCCTTTAGAGATAGTAGTGTGAGTTAGAGCCAGTCTTTGGGGTCTAACAACCTTGGGTGCCAGATTCAGGCCATGCCAGAAGAGGATACCTGCTGTTTATTGAGTGCTTTCTATGTGCCAGGCACTGTATTAAGTGATATATGTATTATATTCGCACAGTTAAACCCAAGAGTTGAGTCTCATTACATCCATTTTACAGATGGGGAAACCGAGATTAAGTAATTTCCTCAAGATCAACTGGGATTTGAATCCAGGTCGTCTGAGCCCTTACCCATGCCTGTACCCCCAGGCCAGGGGGGTTCCCCGGAAGCTTAGTGAGCGCTCAGGAGAGCACTCTCCCTGTCTGTGGGCATCTCAAAAAGGCTCTTTGGGAAGATGACCCTGGGGTGGCTACAGAGGCAACGGAAATGGGAAAGAACATTCCAGGCTGAAAGGACGGCAGAAAGAGGCATCCCAGGATAAACTCCAGTACTGAAGGCCAAGACATAAATGTTTTTTGGAATTCCTAAGAATGTAAACGAAGTATGAAGTCAGAGCACAGGGGAGGAGGCTGGAGAGACGGGGAGGAGGAGAGACCACGGCAAGCCTGTTCCGTGCTTGCAGTTAAAGGTGTTTTCTGTGGCAGATGAACAGCCATCCAAGGGTTTATGGCAGGGAATGATGCAAGAAATGTGCATTCTTGATAGAATTCCCTGGGGGAAGGAAGCCTGGCAAAGAAAGGACTGGATACAGGTGAGACTGGAGGCAAGAACACCGTCCGGGAATGGAACGGGGAATCTGAATAGACAGCTTGACATTGGGGATGGAGAAACGGCTTGAACCAGAATGGTTTTTCCTATCATTTCTATTGTAGTCTGACTTATTCCACTGTGTGCGTGTGATCAGTCGCTCAGTCATATCTGACTCTTTGTGACTCCATGGACTGTAGCTTGCCAGTGTCCTCTGTCCATGAAATTTTCCAGGCAAGAATACTGGAGTGGGTTGCCGTTTCCTACTCCAGGGGATCTTCTTGACCCAAGGATCGAACCTGCATCTTTTGCGTCTTCTTCATTGACAGGTGAATTCTTTACCACTGCACCACCTGGAAAGCCTACCTTATTCCATTAGAGATTCTCAACTAGACCTGACTTCCTAAATTCTTTAAATTCTAAATTTTAAACCTAAATTCTTCTCAGAATATTTCCTTATTTTTTCCCCCACTAATCGCTCACCACTGGGTAACCTGACCTAGTTCACATTACTCAGTTTCTTCTCTGAAAATTGGCCTGTTTATTACAGTGAGGTGACCATGCAAGCTGGTGGCTGAGTTCAGTCCTGATTCCACCTGTTACACAATCATTAATAGCAATCCCTTTCACTCTGCACCATGTTCTTCTTTGAACTATGAATCATGTGGTCACCTTAGTTAAAACACATACACACAAAAAAACAATTGGAACAAAGCCTTGAATATAGATGGTATTAAATTGTGTGTAGGTTCATTAAAACAATCTTACTTGTTTCAGTGATAACTCTTTCCTGCCTTTTTCTTCCTTCCTTTCTTTCCTCCCTCCTTCTGTTCCTTCTTTCTCTTTCTTTCTTTCCTTATTTCTTTGTTGTTGTTTAATACATAAAGAAAAAGAGGTTCAAGTGCATTAAATGAATTGCTGAAAGCACACATGTGGTAAGAAATAGAGGTTGGGGTTGCATTTGAACCTTCTGATGTCTGCTATACCAGTTTCTCTTTTATGCTGTGATAGATTAAAGATGGTCACGTGCTCTTTGCAACCCTCTCATTCAAAGGCAGAGTCTAACCTCTTTCCTTGAATCTGGGTTGGCCTTAGTGATTTGCATACCCAGTAGAATGTGAGAAAAGTGACAAGGGTTGAGTGAGTGACAGAATTAGGTCCTGAGCCTAGGTTTCCTAACTCCAGGTTCAAAGCTTCCTTCTCTCGTGGACTCCCCACATCTCATCCCCATCTTCCCCTTTGTCCTAGGGCATCCTCTCAGCCCTTCCACTCACCAGTG